TGTCCTAACTACCTCCCACTGTTTGTGACAGTCCCTTCTTTACTTTCTTAGAGGCCTGGCAGTCTGGTAATCACAAACAGTTTTCTTAAGGAATCTAGTTAGTTCTTAAAAACATACAACTGCTTCATTTTATTATTATTATTATTATTTTTTGTATACAGAGAAGCAATATTCAACCCTTCCAACCTTCAGAAATTGAGAAAATAGATTAGTTATTTGAAATTCTTTAAGAATTATTCCAAGCGTATGTCTTTGGTTAAATAATGAGCAGAAATGTTAATTAATAGTGTGTCCTTTAGAACTAACCCAAATGTCCATCAGTGATAGACTGGATAAAGAAAATGTGGCACATATACCCCATTGAATACTATGCAGCCATAAAAAAGGATGAGTTCATGTCCTTTGCAGGGACATGGATGAAGCTAGAAATCACAATCCTCAGCAAACTAACACAGGAACAGAAAACCAAACACCACATGTTCTCACTTGTAAGTGGGAGTTGAACAATGAGAACACATGGACACAGTGAAGGGAACATCACACACTGGGGCCTGTCGAGGGGTGAGGGGCAAGGGGAAGGAGAGCATTAAGGACAAATCCCTAATGCATGCAGGGCTTAAAACCTAGATGATGGGTTGATAGGTGCAACAAACCACCATGGCACATGTATACCTATGTAACAAACCTGCACATTCTGCACATGTATCCCAAAACTTAAAGTAAAATTTAAAAAATAGTGTGTCTTATTATTTTTAGGTGTATTTATTTTAAAGCATAGTGTTGTGCTTTATTTCTAAAAACGCGGTGAGTGGAGAAGTAGATTAATACCCAGCATCCATCATAGGAGGAGGTTTGGACAATGAGGTTCTCATTTAGACACTGCCATCCTCTTGGGAATAGCTCATTTTGATTTTGGTCAAAATTGTTAAGAAAATGTAGTGAACTTCTTGAGAACTGGCCTCAGAACCCAAACCTATAATGCTCTTGGAAATATCACAATACAAAAGCTGCTTTTAATTTCTCTCCTTAAAACATCTTTGCTTTTTCATTTCTTCTGTTTTGCTCCTTAATTATTATTTTGATTATGTGCTTATCAGGTTAAGCACCTTACCAGGATCTGCAGTAAGAATATGTTCATTGGTTCAGGGCTTCTCTTAAAATAATTGAAAGTGTATGCTTATTTGTTTTTCTTAGCAACTCAGCCTATGAATCAAACTGCTTCTAATGTAGAAACATGTACATATAAATATATCTATATGTTTAGATAGAGTTATTGTCAAAATATATTAAATCCTTTTAGAAAATGCCGGAATTTAGTTCTTTTAGAATTCAGTGTCCTTGTATTGAATATTTCCTTTAATGTCTATTACAGGATTACAGAAGAAAGTTTCACTGATTAAGTTGCTTTCAGTATTTTTCTTTCTTGATAACTCATATTTAAGTTGTCATATTTAGGGCTGTTATTACAAACTACATACCCTTGCTGGATTGTTTATACAATTGTATTACGGTTAAATATTTGGACTTATGGCTCAATTTCTATTATTCTAGGGTAAAAGTATAGGATAGTCAGACCGGAAATCAGGCAGACTTCTACGTCTTTTTTGTGAGGGCACGGTTAATTACTTCTTCCTTTTTGTAAGGCAATGAGCCTGATTAGATATGAAGTTCCAGGCAAAAGTGTTTTCCAATAAAGCTTCTTTTATTCTGTACTACAATTATATCAAGTAATAACCAGATGTTACCCCCACTGGTTTCTCAGCCTTCTGCAGTTGAGATTTCTTTCAAGTTTCAGCTGGTGACAGATCCTCCTGTTGTAGCTTAAAAAAAATCAAAGAGCTTTCTCATTGTCTAGCTCTTTGCTTTTGTTTTGACCACAGCTTCCCTATGGCTGGGGCCACCCTTTATGCTTTAAAAAAAATAGAGATGATTGTCCTTTATAATATCTAATTTCAATTTTCTCTCTCTGAAAGGCAAGGTTTATCTTCTAACAGAAACATACAGAAGAGTAAGTATGAATAATTGACCAGGACAAGAGCAATGTTTCAGAATATTGCAGAACTTTCATGCTTTTATTCTTTTCCCCTTTTGTAATTTGGATGCATTATGTTATCTTTTGCAATGAAATGGCCAAGGCATTGTGGTCCTGTGGATTGGATGGGATTTGACAGTTTATCAAGTCCATCCCTTCCTAGGTGCAAAAAGCTTTGTCACGTGTCTAACAATCAAAAGTCTGGCTCTGTAGGACTTTTCAGGGTTCTTTTGGTAGAGTAGTTGGTATGACAGTTACCAAATGCTTGTCAATCATATGAAGCAAATCAGAATATTGGAGAGAATAGACACCAAATGAGAACCTCCTGACATTTTTTTGTGCCAGAACAAGGCTACACAAATTGAGTAAAGGCCTTTATTAAAACGATTTATAACAAAACAGGAAGTAGTTTCAGAGTGGCACCCAGGAGCCCATAACCTGGTATGTTGCCCCATTTAGAAATCATATTAGGACTGAAATGTGGGTATAATTATTATTGCTATTTTAAGAAAATTGCTCGTAGACATCCTTACAGAGGAACAAGAATTTTCTTTTGTGGCAATACAGAGCCTGAGAAAATGCAGTATGGTTTTATATCTATATAAACATATGTCATATATATAAACTCTATTGCTATTGCTTATCACTGATTATGCAGTTGGCTGTGGAAAGCTATGAGTCACTGAAATGAGCATTTTAAACATATGCAATTGATCATTTTTACAACGGGAAGAAAAAAAACCATGCTATTTCTTGTTTGCTTTTAAAGATATTGTGGGTAACACGTGTTCCATATCATCTGAGATTATACACAGGAAGAAGGTAAACTTATTAATTAAAAAAGTCGTGGAAAAGGAACTTGCAGCCTGCATTATGTTAGTAATTGGTTGCTTTTTAAATATGAAAGAAAAAAGAGTAAATTATGTTCTCCTGAAAATCTGATCCTTGTTCTTATGGAAAACATGGCAAAACATAGAAACTCTGTTATGGCAAAACTTGTTAGGATAAGGACTCCTCACCTGGGGTTCAGGGAAGTGTTTGAAGATATATAAAAATGTATCTTAGTGAAAAAAAATTATGTTCTTTTTCTTAAAACTGCAAATAACCCTATAGTGCTTTAGTATTACATGATCGGTATTATTTTCATTATTCGTATTAGGAGTTACAGAAAAAGAGTCCTTTCATTTTGATTATGAATATTATTTTTTATATCAAGCCTAGTTAATGTAGATTATGTAGATAAGGAAAAATCTTGACATAGCTTAAATAATCCTCAGTTTTTTCTCATCACAGCATGATAGGACATCAAAATAAAGTGTTTCTTGTCTAATGTTCTTGCCAGTGGACATATGAAGCTAGTGAACTTGAAGAAGCAGGATGTTTGGGTCCATTCTGAAATTACTGTTAGATCACAAGAATAATTTTTACTAATTTTGTGAGACTAAGACTCAATCAACAGAGAAAATAACTTTACCAGTAGTTAGATTTGTCCCATCTGAAAGTTTTATATTCTGAAGTAAGAAAACCAATGCACATTAGGGATATCTTGGTGATAACATGTCCTAGAAATGATGCTTTCATTCTTTAGGTTCGAGTAGAGGAAGACAATGGAAGTGTGGCTTTTGTCAAAGGTTGACTTCCAACAGAGAGACATCTGTGTGCTACTCACATCATCTATTGGATGCCTATTGTACTTAGAAAAAAATCCACACTTATAATAACTTACGTGGGTATATGGTTAGATGTATATATTCTCTATTTCTGTAGTTTATGTTAGAGTTTTGGGGAAGAGGCTGGAGGCAGCCGCCCATACTAGTTGTCAAAAAGTGGAAACTCAGCTCAAGATGTTTTTCACCTGTGTGAAGAAAACTTTCTGATACAGTATAAGGAAATGTTTGCAAGATTTTGTGTAGATGTGTTATGTGCATTTTTGTGGGGACAAGACCTATACCTTTTATTAGATTTTCACAGAAGGCCATGGCTCCAAAAGTTCCAGGTTTTTCTAGTGTTTGAAGCTGGAAGTGTAAGGTAACAGCATCTTATTTCCTATACAAGGATTACTTGAAAACTCTAAAAGATTTGAATAGAATTAGAACCAGATCAAGACATTTTCTATGCAATAGGAAAGTCCTTAAGAAAAAGCTAAGTGGTTCATGTTATTAAGATAAAATCTAATGTTAATCTATAAATGACTTCTTTTTAGTATTAAAATAAATCCTTTTATCCTGAAAAGGCAGAATCAGTTAAAAAAAGTAATTGCTATTGAAGCCTTTCTGTCCCCTGAGCTAGCTCAAGTGTGAGTCAATAACAGCTACAGACAGTAGCTGAGGCCTGATGCAACCCAAGTTTATTTTACTCTACTCTACTTGCCCAGGGAAGGAAAATCTGATAATATTATTAGTAAAAACACTGTTAAAGGGGGGATTAAGATTAAGTTTGTAAACATAGCCAAGAGTACTTCCTTAGCATTTTTTTCTGTTTAATTTGAAAACCTGATAAATAGAAAAATATTCTGGACTGTTGGGAATACAATAAAATAAAATCTTGGTCAGGCACAGTGGCTCACGCCTGCAATCCCAGCACTTTGGGAGGCCGAGGCAGGCGGATCACAAGATCAAGAGATCTAGACCATCCTGGCCAACATAGTGAAACCCTGGCTCTACTAAAAATACAAAAATTAGCTGGGCCTGGTGGTGCGCACCTGTAGTCCAAGTTACTTGGGAGGCTGAGGCAGGAGAATCACTTGAACTCAGGAGATGGAGGTTGCAGTAAGCCAATATCGCACCACTGTACTCCAGCCTGGTGACAGAGCAAGTCTCCATCTCAAAATAAAATAAAATAAACTCTTGTTGCATCCGATCTGAGCTGCACCAGACTTTTACTGGAGACACAGTGTTCACAATATATAATTGAATCATAGTACCTTTTGCAATTTTATTTAGAGATTTTTAAGTGTTATGTCTTTTAGTTTTCAGCATTCCCCTACTGTTTTGGGAAACGTCATATTCTTATCTTGGAAGAGTAATCTCAAAATTGAAGCATCTTAGAGCCAACAAGAATTAAAAGGATGGGATGTCCTTGCATAGAGGTCCAATAGAGTCAGAAGACTTTGGGTTTTGGAGTCTGAGAGATGTGAGTTTAAATGCTGAGCTTGCTACTTGGTTTTTCAACTTTCTTTTATGAATTGACTAACTCTTGGTCCAGTGTCAGTATTTAGCAGGGGATGGAATTCATGTCCTGCTTTGGTTTAATCCTAAGTACCCAATTCTGGTGAGACTGATAAGAAGAGACAGGGGCTGTTATGGTCCTTATGCCTCTGAAATGTTGTAGACTTTCCTTATGGTTCTTGTGCTATTCTTTGTGAGTTGTATGACCCTGGTTAAGCTACTTAACCTCTGAATCTCAGTTTCCTAGTTGTAAATTGAGGCAAATATCTACCTTTATAAGTCATCAGAAGAACTACATATAATATGTTTAAACCCCTAGCACAGTGCTTGGCTTAAGTTGTGAACAATTTGGTTCTGACATTTGACATCTAGCTTCCTCTTGAACATCTTTAGGAACACAAAGGTCATTACTACATGAGAACACCTCTGCTGTTGTAGCTCAGTTCTCATTGATAATCAGTTATTGGTCCTGGGTTTGCATTCCCAGCAATAATAAGCTTAACCGCTCTTAGTATAATGAGTTTTCCAATGTTTGAGGACAGATATCATGTTTCCTCTTATAGATCTTATAGTCACAGTTTATCGAACTATTTATTGTAAGAGATTATCTCAAGGCCCTTTTCCCTTCTGGACATAATGTAGAATATCAATTTCTTTCAACAGCCTGGCATCTAAAACAGGGTGCAACATTCTGGAAGTGGTATGAGCAACATCAGGCCAGAATAGTCATTCTGTCATTGGCAAACTGGTCATTTCTAACCTTAGTTAGAAAGTTGTATACTTCAAATCTTGGGGGTCTCAGTTTTCTCATTTATAAAATGAGTTGCTCAGAGCCAGGTGCGGGGCTAGCACCTGAACTCCCAGCTTCTCAATAGGCTAAGGTGGGAGGATGAATTGAACCCAGGAGTTTGAGGCTGTAGTGAGCTGTGACTGTGTCACTGCACTCCAGCCTGGGTGACAGAGCAAAACTCTGTCTCTTACAAAAAGAGTTGTTTAGGCCGAGCACAGTGGCTCACGCCTGTAATCCCAGCATTATGGGAGGCTGAGGTGGGCAGATCACGAGGTTAGGAGATCGAGACCATCCTGGCTAACATGGTGAAACCCCATCTCTACTAAAAATACAAAAAATTAGCCGGGTGTGGTGGCAGGTGCCTGTAGTCCCAGCTACTCAGGAGGCTGAGGCAGGAGAATGGTGTGAACCCAGGAGGTAGAGCTTCCAGTGAGCAGAGATCGTGCCACTGCACTCCAGCCTTGGCGACAGAGCGAGACTCCGTCTCAAAAAAAAAAAGTTGTTTCAATCAAACAACACATGGGATTGCATCTTGCTTTGAAATATAAAACTCAGTGTTAACCATAATGTTGATGTTATATTTCTTAGATATTAGAGCTCATGTTTAATTTTACTAAATATTTCTTTTTAATTGAGTGTCTGCTTTGTGCTAAACCCAGTGAACTGTAAAGGACAGAAATATTCCTCCTTAATGTGCTTATACTATCTCAGCAATAAGATATGAAATAAAGAATATTACACAAAGAATATTACACAAAAAAGTGTCTTGTCCTTTAGTAATTTGGCTTGCACACAATGCATAGTTTATATCTTTAACAAAAGTTAAAGTTATTATCAACAATAGTCTATCCATTAACAGATTAAAAACTGATGTGGAAATGGAAATGTCTGATAAAACTGTATCTGAGGTTCTTATCTATAGAGAGCATGGAAGAAGCTGACCAGGGTACCTCTCCTTAGTGTTGTATTTTAGAGCTGAGTCCGCATTAAGAGTCACTGAGCACAGCCTTCCTGTTATTTCCTTGAGACTGAGAACTTTCTCTCCTTTCTGAAATAGTATCAACACCAGATCAAAGACACAGTAGTCCTCTGAGACCCGGTCGATTAAACACTCAGCGTTGTCTGGTAAACCACTCTCTGTTACTGTGGCTGAAGAACATGGAAAATTTTTCAGCAACCTCTTACATTGTGAACTTCAGGCCCTGCTCAGATGTGGTGTTTCTTCTTCCTCATGCCTAATATGGTTAGGGACATTCATAGGCGGAGATGGTTAAGGGGAACTTGTGTCTCAACAACAGATGAGAGACTGGTAAAAGTGATCTGAACACCAATGGAAAAAAATCAGTTGTCGTTATTATTATTTTTTTTTTCCCAAAAAGTGAAAGCCGTGTTTGCTTTGAGATGAAACATTTGAGAAGCTTCTCTTCTTTAGGTGATTCCATCCCTGCTCGGCCTCAGCAGTTCCTGCTTGGAAGTAAAGAGCCAAAGAGAAGGCAGGGAGCATGGAAGTGCCTTTTCCAAGGACACCCAGGCTGCTTGGCAGCTGCGCCTGCAGAGACTCTTATCCACCTGCTCTGCTGCCCCAGGCCTTGCCTAACTGGAGGGGCCAAAACTATCTGTCTGACTCAAGAGGGCATCAGGGCAGAGTCTTCACATCTTTTATGACAAAAACGTCCCTTAGCATGTCCGGAATATTTTTTCTCTAGGCTTGTTCCAACTGGAGCTCATTTTGCTCTGATTATTCTGGCCTATATGTTTCTGCA